CTTAATGCTTTAAATCGCAAAGATCTTGGGGACATTGCAACTGCGCCTGTCACTCTGAGACATAAGTTGACAAGTCCCAAGGAATGCAGGAATGCTCACGTTACTGCTTGGCGGCAGAAATAGGTAAGGTGGCAGTACTTCCCTGGACGAACTCTGTCACAAGGAGCTCTACGGCTGCTATGATTTAATTCGCAAAGATCTGAGTGGTACTGCCACTGCGTCTATGACCCTGAGATATAAAGTTGACCCAGTCCCATACGCCTGTAGTTTTGCCAACACCCTTACCCTTAAAACTGGAACGGTAGGTACTGGTTGGCGGCAGAAATAGGTATGGTAACAGTACTTCCCTGGACGAACTCTTTCACAAGGAGCTATACTGCCATTATACATAAATTACGTGACATAACTAAAAGAAACAGTATACGTAACGTGACATAACTAAAAGAAAGAGTATACTAAAATATACATCTGCCCTTCGGATAGCTAAACATGTTCTATCGCGGAAGTAGCTGTCAACGAAGTCACCGGAGGTTTCAACGGGGCGAACTGAAAGCTACTTTGCGAGGAGTTACGGCCATGGCCCCTTGAGGCCCTGGTTTTCCACCGCAAAAGGCATATCCAGCCAGCGAAACGCCGTCGCTTTATCCAAAAAACATCCCCACATTTCATTGCCGTCGTCAATCATCAATCAGCCTTCAAAGCCATTCACTAATTCAGCTACTGGCATACGTGCCACTAAGAAAAATTGATGGATCTACGAACAAGGATCAGTAAATGTACCGAGGACACCTCCGGGATTTCGGCCAGAAGGACACCATCAACTATAGCTTTAAAATATACTTTTTTATTTTATCGGACAATATATATTTAAAAATTCTGCGGTCGCGCGTGTGTCACTAGCTTATTAAGCGCAGGGATAGACTATTACAGGCACAGGCCGAGATTGGCGTAAACTTGATACTAAATGTTCCTTGAATTTAAATTGTATGAGCAATATCAGTACCATTTTGCTTATATGTAAAACCAAAACCACACTGCAGTCAACAATATGAAATGAAATCCCATATTTCGCTTCCCTACGTTCACAATGTTAGACTAACGAAGCGTTATTTACATAAAATATTTACGTGTTCATGAAATTAGATTGTCGCTTAGAAAAGTAATTATTTAAAAGTCAGTTTTTAAGTATTTATTCCAAAATACAAATAGAGAACAAATTTTAAATGTAATATAGAACCGAAGATGTGCGGAAAAACGTTTTTTTTTCCATCCTCTGAGAAAAAAGATTACCTATATGGCCCTTTTAGATTTAAAGAAGTTACAAACCCAAAAAAAATCCTTAACAAGTTTCTGTCAGAAATATATTCATAAAGGAGAAACGGTGTTATTCCTTACACGGAAAGGTGCAAACAAAGATGGGTCACGAAATCCGAGGATTGTTTACAAAAGGTACGAGCCGTTTCTATATTTAAGAGGCAAAATGACAAATGATAGGACGCTACCCACCGCGACGTAAGCCAACTCATGGAAAATTAAAGACAATAGAAATGTATTACAAATTATTTTTACGTTGAATTTTTGTGTTTTATACTTGAGGTGCTTCTTGAAACACTTGTCGCTTGCTTTAGATTTTTGGTTGGTGATCTTGTACAGAGTCTAGAGCTAGTCCACTTTGTTACTTTAGATTCAAATTCAACTCTAAGGCGATGGTGATAAGCACAGTTCAAAGGTCACAGTGTCAAGCATAATCCGATTGTAGCGGACTATCAAAATGGATTTCGGGTGAACGATGAATGAGCACCAACAAAGAAAACAATGTATGAGGTACGAATCAAAGAAAATAAATACATTAAAATATACATTTTCAACCTAAAGCTAATAACTAATAAAAAGATTATAGATTATATCGAAAGTAAAAAGATTTGTAGCGACTACTCCAGTTTAGTGATCTTGATTGGACGTAATGGAAACCGCTCATTGCTTGCGAAATTACTAAAAATACCACATATTTTAATATGTATATGTAGAGATGGTTGACACATTTAACTACAATCTCACCAAAGTAAAAAACAAATGGTGGTAACATGATGGTAACGGTAATTATATTTTTTTGAAAATAGAAATCGTCGAAAAAAATATTCAAGAAATTGCAATATATTTTTCGTAAGAAATACACATTTCTGCACAGTTCACCAGCTATAAATGAACATGTTTATCGAGACCGAAGACAAGACAAAGTAGAACGAAGTTCATTAAGAAGATTAAGATTTATTGATATGCTCCGTGTGCACTGTTCTTAAGAGAGTTTCCATTACAGTGAGACACAGAAAATTTAATAAAAGAATTTTCTTTGAAAGAAATTCTGCACATTTCCCGAATTTCCACTTGTCAACTTTACAAACTTCGAAGATAGAGGATTTAAATTGTAGAATGACAAATGGCATTGCGTCTCGCGTCGCGTAGAATGAAATATCACATGTAAAATTCTACGCGGAACCCGTATTTCTCTTTGTTAGAGGTACTTGCTCAAATACGGAGGATTTGCATCGAGCTTTCTTTTGAAACATTGAATCACTCAGCGATTGTTTGGCGTTATAAATTCACAAGGAGATTTAAGCTTAAATACGTAGTAGCTACTACGCTACGCCAAACATGTCTTAATTCAATTTTGTTTCAAGCAAAACACTTATTCTATATATTTATATCTATCTACTAAATACTCTATTAAGTGTTGCATACTAGAAGTATCCGGAAAAAAAACATTGTATATAAATGACTTTTTTGAAAAAAAAACGTATATTTTTTATGATACCATGTGACGGTATGAACAAACCGAGCGCCTGTTGGTAAGCGACACGCATGTCCACAACAGTTGCGGTGCCCATCACCCTGAGACATACCTTAACAAGTCCCATGTGCCTGTAATTTGACCAGCACCCATACCCGTCAAAATCCGAACACTGTAATGCTCACATTACTGCTTGGCAGCTTGGTTACATCCCTGGACGATCTGTTTCACTAGGAGTTCTACTGCTACTTACTACATAGGTGTAAAAAATAGTTCTATTTCGAGTGTGTAGCAGTCGCGATAACCTACAATAAGACCTCGATTCGTATTTTTTTTCCAAATATTTCGAAAAACATACGAAATCCTAAGGCAAAATAACCCTCGACGACTTTGTGTTTTTGTTAGCTCGTTCCCAAGAGGCGTTGGTGACACGTTCCCTTTTACCCAAGAGAGTCACATTCACAATTAAATTTGTGTCGTTTTCATTAATGCCTAATTTTCCTTTCAAGGAGAAAAAACAAACACGCCGCTGGCTGCAACGGCTGGCAGTAGGTTAAGTGGCTTTGAATTCATAATTGGATAAAAACGTTTAGTAGCACAGCTCCTTGTGAAAGAATTCCTCCAGGGAAATAGTGCCACCTTACCTATTTCTGCCGCGAAGCAGTAATGTGGGCTTTACTGCGTTCCGATTTAAACGGTACTGCTGAAACTACAGACGAGATTTTTAAACACAATAAATGCAGACGGGAGCAGTGGCAGTACCGCTCAGATCTTTGCGATTTAAAACTCTGGAACTGCTATGGACAGATGTGTCACCTCCAGGCGCACGACTTGTCGTCCAGTCGCTTGGTAACATAAAAAAAAAACTTGTATTACTGTGACATTGTGGAACAGCAGCATTTAGTTAAGGCATTACAACATAACATCGCTACTTCAATTTAACACCGCGACGGTTGAGTACGTTTCCCTCTTAACAAAAGGAAACTGCAAAAGTTTCGAGGCTTATTCTACTCATAAACATAATTAAGACCTGCTGCCCCATTCGTATATTCTAAAACTTTTTCTACACGTTGTTATCCTTTCTAATTGTCAAATGTTACGTCATAATTGTTATTGCGCATTCGTGGGTTGTAATTTTGTTACAGCCTTTTCTTACATCAGGTTTACGCACCTTCCTTTAGCAATTAGTCGATACATTTAAGTAATTTTTTGTTGGTGTAACAACAAGAACAACTAAATTAAAATGGTTTTGCTATACCAACAAAACAATGCTATCTTAAATGAACAACACCATAATTAATTGAGATTATGGTACGTGTTTTATGTAATGATATAGTTACATATTTCAATTAGTTATATAAAGTTATAAATGAGTATTTAAATATTTAAAAGGGTTTTTAGCAACTACCTGTAAAAAGTCCGTTCAATAATAAAGTACGTTTAAAACGTAAGTTATTGCCATAAAACACACATTGCGAATAAATTTTGCAGCTTTATTTTTATGTCAATTATTGTTTTTTAAATTTTCGAAAGCATTTCATAATTCCCAAGTAAACTTTTTGCAAAGTAAAGAATTAAATTATGTTATAGGTCATTATTTATTTTAACACGGAAGGTTTCATTTATTATAAAGAGAATTAAACACGGTGACTTTAGTAATACGGACGAATTTGTATTACGATTATATACGTAGGTATACGTATTACGTGCGGCAGAATGAAAGTAAATTTATTCCGCTCCCACAGAGCAGTAGACCACGGCTCAACTTTGATTAAAATTCAACAGCTCTCACATAAGACGACCAATCTACAATATTAATAAACATTGACGTAGAACACAACTAAACGTTACACAAACAACATGTTAAGCAACAGCATATTAGTCATGCTTCGACACACTGACCATTTAAACTAAACAAACTCAATTCACAACTGTAAACACTGACGAAATTACCTACTATTTCAAGTTTAATTAACTACTAACAAAGGACAAAGATTTTCTTTGTTTAAGAAACCAGTGGCGGAAAAGTTACGGAAAATAAATAATTGTACAAGTTATTAGAGGCGCGCGAAATAAAATAAACAATATATGGCATACGATTCATAGACAGATTCAGGCTTAAAGTGCGTTGTCTAAGATAAACATGTGGGTGCAATGCGCAACAGGGTGGCGCGGAGGTCAGCGGCAGGCGGCATGCGAGTGGCGGGCGTACCTGCGGGCGAGCGGGAGCGACAGTCCGGACTGAGGGCCGAGCGAGCGCGCCGCGGCCTCCGTACGGACTGACGCGTTGCCGCCACCGTCGACGTCGGTGAAACCTTCTTCCCGCCCCCCACTCCGGTCCGGGTTACCATCCCTTCGATTAGGTACTATTAAAATTATAACTTCTCCCCGCATATTTTAAACAAATTATCTAGACAGTGCTTTCCTCGACAACTTATGGCGGCAGTGTAATAAGTTTAAAAACATTGAGTTCTCGCATCGATTTTTCCGTCAGACTGCCCGATCGTGTCCACACTGAAGCGCCGTTAAAGTTAGGGAACAATTTTTGACAAAAATAATGTTAAGAAATTGGTTTCAAACTTTTATACGATACGTAGGTAGTACACCTTTTACAACAAAAATACACGAATGACAAAAAAAGCTTGTTTCCAAGTTAAATTATAAATGAGTTACAGGCAATCAACTCTTTTCCAAAACTATGGGACATAATCTTCTCAACGTCGGCTGCACTCTACAAAAAGAATGTCTAATCCCGCAAAAACAGCCAGTGGACGCTGGCAACTCCGGGCCTCCTCCCACTTCTCGCCGACCCAGCCGGTAGGGCCCGAATAATAAAGCGGGGGAAAATCGGACGGGGGGTGGAAATGCCGGAAGACACGAGCTGCGCCGGATGGATGGAGCGGATCCCAAACCCCTTGCATCTCTTTCAGAGCGCAGCAAACAAGTTCACGTAAAAAAGTTACGAGAAAAAAATTGGATTCTTTTTATTGTTACGTAATGACATTGAAACATAACCAAATTGGGGGCCTGCGCGAAATTTATGTCTTTATTAAAATTGGTTCATAAATTAAAGGAATAAGTTACATTGGTATGTATCGAATTCTGAACTTTCGGTGAAGGGTTGTCTGTGATTCTATCTTTTGACCATTTTGTTTTTGGTTATGATATCCGATGTTAGACCATTTGTATCTTATAACGTTTACTTTATTTATCCATATGGCATGTCGAGGAAAATATATTAATATTATAAATAAATTAAAATCGTGCCTAAAGTACAAATGTGCGACATAAAAGGATTTGACAAAGAAACAACGCTACAGGTGGACCGTAAAGGTCAAAGTTTCCGACCCAAAGGCTCAGGAAGTAAGGAGTTTGTCTCGACATAAATTAATTTATCAGATGGCAACCCTAACTGACTCAGCGGTAACTTTATGAATTGTTTTCCCGTATTTAAAGGAATCAATGATCTTTTACATATTACGAACAGAAGAGCAAATGAATAACTAAAGTTATTCAAAGTCTTTTACTACATAGGGGATTAATGAGGAACAATGCAGGCAACCGTCATGACTTTGCTACTTTTGTTCCCTTGAATAAATATTAAAGTAACGTAGCACGGTTTTATTAAAATTAGTAATACTAGAACTTTAGCGTTCGCATGAACATAGTTGGTGATATAGTATGTAGTGGGATGAAGTACGTGTCTGTAGTTTGAAACACTATTTCATAATAAGTTAATGCCTCTACACACCCGCTTCGCTTATTTTACTATATACAAGATGTTTCTTTTTGTCACTTGACAAATTTTAAGATGTGATTATACTCGTGATAAAAAACAACTTCAATTTTAAGACGGGACCCTACTGAAATAGCGAAAGAAAAGACAATATTCACGCAGTGTAAAGAACCTGGATCAACAATATGAAATCGTTGATTGCGTACCTACGTGAATCATCTTATATTTCTATTTTTTGCCCCGCACTAGGGAAACCTTGTACCGCGGTTGCCACGAACACACACATAGGTAGACAATCACAAATTACACCGAAACTCATGACAAAAATAAAATTGTAGTCCAGACAAATAATATTTGTCCCGGCCCGGGAATCGCACGCGGGTCCTCTGCGTGGGAGTCTTGCATGGTGACCGTTCGGCCACGGAGGCAGTTAGCAGTTGGCAGCATCAACATCAACCCTTTTATATTTCCCACTGTTGAGCAAGGGTCTCCTCTCAGGCGACAGTTTAGGCTATAGTCCACGATGGCACAATGCGGGTTGGGGATTTCACACGTTTTCCGAGTCCGTTGTGAACCTTCTTCGACGTGTAGGTTTCAACACGATGTTTCCTTCACCAAAACTACGTGATTATTTAAAAAAAAGTGAGATATACATTTGCTGAACAAATTAAAAAGGCTTCTGAAACACGGTCTACATCTCCGTACATACCACTAATCGCTTTGGAAATTAACTTTATCGCGTTGTGGCAGTACTTACTCACATATCTAGTACGTTCCTGTCCCAATCTAAAAATGGCTTCCTTACGTACGAGCCATTGAGGGGGGTTAAGTTGGGAAACATCATCTCTGATCGAGCGACGTTTCATTTTTTGTCAGGTCAAAAAAGTAGCACTGATTGCCGAGTTGGAACATGACTTTCCTTCTATGCACGACGTCAGGATTCGATTGCCAAGTCAGGGTATCACTACATGTTTTTGAATAACGTACTTTTTAGTTTACCACCACTTATCTAGCAGTGTTGTCAGTGTGTAATTTTAAAATACTAACAACGCCGCAGGAATATAATTCCTAACATCATAAACAACAACTTTTGTTCCACTTTCGACGAAACAATAAATTTACTAAAAATAAACTTTAAAATTTTTGTTGTATTATCTGACACTTTTTAGATAAGTATTTGGTAGAATAAGTCACATATGCAAGCGTCATCCGCGACTCCCACCCCCGTCCTGCACAAAGTTAGCGTTTCGAGCAATCTTTTTATTTTTGTATGAAAATCAAATCTGTTGAACTGTTGAAAAAGTCATGGAACAAATGTTGTTGTTTATGATGTTAGTAATATAGTCCTACAAGGTTGTTAGTATTTTTTATTTAGTAGCAGTAGAGCTCCATAAGAAAGAGTTCATCCAGGGTAGTACTGCTTTACCTATTTCTACCGCCAAGCAGTAATGTCTGTATTACTGTATTCTGGTTTAGAATGGTGACGGGTGCAGCGGCAGTGCCCCTCAGATCTTTGCGATTTAAAGCTCTGAGTGGCACTGCAACTGTTATGGACAGGCGTGTAGCTTACCATCAGGCGCACGACTTGTTCGTCCCGTCGCTTAATAGTGTAAAAAAATAATCTTGTATAATCATCAGCTTTAAGCCCGAATAAGTGTGCCGTCAGTTTTTTTATTAAAAACATCTTTTTCTAGATACCTTAGGGTCTTATGGAATATATAGCGCAAAAGTGGGCAGTGATCACTGAATTGTTTGGTCTGAATCACTTCACATATTATGTACATTTTGGCGTACACGGACCTTACGAAGTTAAAAGTTGTTTGCACGGAGAAGGGGCACAAAAGTTTACGAATATGTTTGTAGTTCTCAATCCGTATTGGACTCGCGTGGCAGACTATTGTCTAAAACCCTTTCTTTCGAGGACACTCGTAATCAGCAGAGAAATATGTAACGGTTACACCTGGTATGTTACTTCTAGTAAAACAATATACAAGGTTACTTGTAACACCAACAACCTCTCAGGGCTATATTACTAACATCATAAACAATAACTTTAGTTCCATGACCTTTTACAAAATAAAACAAATTTACCAAAAATAAACTTTTAAGTTTATGTTGTATTATCTTATACTTTTTGGCTCTATATTTAGTAAGTTCAAAGGTACAAGCGTTCTCCCATGTGCGCTCCAGGGCGTTTTATACAGAGTTATCATCATATATTAATGAATTTCAGTGATTTTCTTTGTATTACAAGGATAAAAAGTTTCACTGTTGTATTTTTTTTAAATTCACATTTATTTATAACTTTTGTTTTGTACATGTTGAGAGGATTGTACTTTGCTTTTTTTGTTTGTTTCTGTTCCTTACTTGTTAGTCTGATGTCATAATTAAGAATGCTGCGTTTCCCTGTTACTGGGATATATACATTAAGATAGATACTAAATTTTATATTGTATATGTTCTATTGGGATACAAAATAAATAAATAAATATAGATTCAAAGCGACTAATTTAAATATTTTTATTTTTGTAGGGAAGTAAAAGCTGATGAATTATTAAAAGTCATGAAACAAAAATTGTTACTTATAATGTTATTAGCGAGGTTTTTAATATTATACGAATAATCCTGTATATTGTTTTATTAGAAGTAACATACTAGGTCTAGCCGTTACAAACAGCCCAGTAGAGTACGTGTGCACGCCTGCCGCGCGCCGTTTATGGACGCATACATTCGCATAATCTCATTATAGAATTACAGTGTTCGCTCGGTGTTTAACTGCCTCCGTGGCCGAACGGCTACCATGCCGGACTGCCACGCAGAGGTCCCAGGTTCGATTCCCGGGCCGGGAGAAATATTTGTATGACCTACATTTATTTCTCTCGTGAGTCTGGGTGTAATTTGTGGTTGTCTATGTGTGTGTCCATGGCACCCGCGACACAGGGTTTCCCTAGTGCGGGGCTATGTTGAGTGTGTGCGTTATTATTGTTTAAAATTGACATCAAGTAGTAGACGTGTTTATATTTATTTAAAAAAGAGTAGTTCAAATTCAGAGTTTAAGGGTTGTATTCTAGAACTCTACTCAATGCTCAAGTCAGGACTTGAGTATAATTCAAAGCGCTAGAAATCATACCCAAGTCCTTGCCATTAGAGTCGGATTTCCAGTGCTTGAAATCATACTCAAGTCTGCTCAAATCCTGACTTGAGCATTGAGTTCTGGAATACGACTCTTAGTAGCAGTAGAGCTCCTTGTGAAAGAGTTCGTCCACGGAAGTTCTGCCACCTTACCTATTTCTGCCGCCAAGCAGTAAGTAATGTGCATACATTATTATAGCATTACAGCGTTCCGGTTTGAAAAGTTACGAGCGCTAGTGCAATTACAGGCACATAGAACTTGTCAATTTATGTCTCAAGGTGAGAGGCGCAGTGGCAGTAGCCCTCTTTGCGATTTGAAACTCTGAGTGGCACTGCAACTCTTATGGATAAGCGTGACGCTTACCACTAAGCGCACGACTTGTTCGTCCCGTAAGCTGTTATTATAAAAAAAAA